GGATTATTCCTATCAGCATACAAACATACTATAATTTCTCCCACCTTAAAAACAAAAAATCTCTCTTTACACCCTGCCCCCCCAGCTACAGCCGTCATTCTCTACTCTCCTTCCCATTAAAACTCTGGAGAGTTGTCTGTACCTGCAGTCTCTCATTCCGGTCCTCCCGTTTTCTTAGTTTAACATTTTTTATTGTGTTTTATTATAGAACATTTCAAGCATATACCAAAATAGAGGGGGCAACATAATGAACCCTCCCTTCCTATCACTGTTTGCCCAGATTATATACAAACTCATCACAGACATCACCCATTCACTCTTGCCTCCACTGGAAAGACGTGTGCCCCTCACCACCCCCGCGCTGCTCTCAACAAGCTCCCAGTGACCTCCATGGTAATAGGTCTCACCCAGTGGTCACTTCTCAAGCTTCACCTCACTGGACTTCTCTACAGCTTATACCGGCTGATCACTTATTTTTCTCTACTTGATTTCCAAGACATCGCCTTACCCTGGTTTTCTTGCTACCTGGCTGACTAGTCTCCTTTGTAGGTCCCCCCTCATCTCCACAGTGTCCCCCTGCTGGGGTTCTCAGTGGCCCTGAGCTTGGGCATTGGCTCACCCAAGGATCAATACCCACTCCTTAGCTAATTTCATCCCTCCCAGTTTCCAGAGCCATCTACGTTCTGGAAACTCCCACACTTATATCTCCAGCCAAGAACCCTTCCCTGAACTTGGCATCTCTACCTGGATGATTAATAAGAATCTGAAACTTAATATGAAGATAGACTGAATCCATAACCAACTCCAACCTCTGCCTAAAAGCCATTTCTCCCACAGACTTCCATCTTCCTGATGCCTCAGCCCCATACTTTATTACATCCTCCTAGAGTGGAGCCCGACCCTTCAATGGCTCACAGGCCGTGTGTGGTCAAGCCCCTGCCCCCTCTGAGCTCATCTCCACCTGCTCACACTCAGGCTCCAGCCTCACTGCTGCTCCCCACTGCAGCCGGGTGGGCTGTGCGTGGCTGTCCTCTCTCCTGGAAGTCCCTTACCCTTGGCACCCAGATGAACTGATCCTCCACCTCCTTTAGCCTTTGCTCAAACGCCACCTTTTTCTGAGGCCTTCTGGACACTCTTGTATAAACTCCAGCTCCTCACTCCCTTTCCTGGTCTAATTTTGCTCCATAGTTCCTAACTCCATAGCACCTTCTCTTTATATTTACTTCTTTATTCATTTATGTCATCTCTCACTGGCATGTAAGTTTGTCTGCTGTATCCTCAATGCCTAGAACAGTGTCTGGCATGCAGCTGGCATCCAGTAAATTCGATTTAATGGAGGAATGAATGAATGAGTGTGCAATAGGGTCTTCTTCCTACAATGGAGCGATCACTTTGTAGCTCCCACCTTTCAGTAAAGCTTCGGGGATTTATTTCTCTCTCTATCTCTCAAACATGCATGTGCGCACGCACACCCCCCCCCACACACACACACCCCGTCTATCTGACTCCCAGCATGACAGAAAGGACCTGGTGAATGGTGGGAAATCCGGAGGAGGGGCAGACAGTAACTAGCATAACCCTCTCCCCAGGGACACTCAGTCTGCAGCAGCAGTGAGCACGTGCTCATTTGCCCCCATCATCTGTAAGGGCTCCTTACCCAGCCCATGTCCATACAGTATATCCTACTGGAGACCAGTGGAATTAACAATATGGAAATGTGGGAGCTTCTGGAAAGAGTCCTCTGGATTTTTCAATCAGACTGAAAAAACAAAGAAACCCAACCAGACTGACTGAGTTTTTAATCAAACTACCAAAGCAGAACAGGGTTTCTGTAGGTGTGTTCATTTTGACACACCCTGAAAAAATATCTGAGGGGACCAAGCTTAGTTTCTGGAAGAACAAACCCTGCCAATCTGGTGTTAATGCTCTAACTCCTGGTTTGTCTTTCCTATGACTTCCTGTCTTGAAAAACGTGTGCCTGTAAAAAGAAGAGCCATCTGTTACTGAGTATCTGCCACGCATGGTGCCCACTGAACCACGGCCTGTACTCTACCCAAACTGCTTCCCATCCTCAAGAGGCAGGACACACAGAGATTAGGAGCATGACCTTCACAATCAGGCCTGGACTCAGAATGAAACAGGACAAATGATTTGATGTTGGCTTGGGCAAGTCACTCAACTACCCTGCAATTCAGTTTTTTGTCTGTAAAATGGGGGTAACAAGAGCTCAACGACACATGGGGTTGTTGTAAAGGTAAGAATAAGACGCTGTATGTGAGTGCCAGCACACAGTGAACGCTCTGCAAACAGAAGCCGTCATCACTGGTTTTTCACTGTGGTGTCCCAAGTGAACTCTTTGCCTTTCTGAAGACTGCTCTGGGTTTCTGTGTGAGGGTCTGGGTGATCTTTCTAATTGAAAGAGAAAAGATTTTAGGAGGAACTTGTTCTAAATTCACAGTCACTCAGATCAGTATCTTCCTTAGCCTTGGCCTCCTTTTACCCTAGGAAAAGAACAAGAAGGAGGTCAAAGGAAGAAATCAGAGGAGGTGCTGTAGGCCTTGGATAGAAGGGAATAGAGAGGGAAATCTAAGGACAGTGAGCGGAGAGAACAGGCCACGCATGCACAGGACAGGTGGGTGATGCTGCAGAAGTCAGGATGGGGGATAACCAGCAGCAGCCACAGGCAGGGGCAGGAGAGGGTCTCCTGGGTGTTCCAGGAGATAGAGAATGGAAAGACAGACGGGGACACAGCATCGCCTTCCTGCTGCCATGAGGAAGCGCTAGTTCATTTGAAAGCAGCCTGAAGTCCACCCTCTGATATGTGCCTGATCCAGGTCCCTGTGGCTCTGGTCCCACCTCTTCCCTCTCTCCTCTTCTGTGCTGCTCCACTCGCACCAGCCGTCTTTCTATTTCTTGACGCAACATGAAAGCTTCTACCTCAGGCCTTCCTGTCACCTCTGCTTGGGATGCAGGGCTCCTCTCAATCCTCACCTTATCTGAGAGGGCTTCCCCGGCAAACCATCTTACCTGCTTTATCTTTTCTCCTTGCACTTATGGTCAAGTCTTTATTTCACCTGCTTCCCCTAGTGGAATGTGAGCTCCACAAGAACGAATTCTATTTTTACTTCTGAATATTGCTTAGCACACAGCAGACCTCATTAAATATCTGTCAAAGGAATGCATGAACCAAAAGCCATAATATTTATAATGTATATAATGCATTCTATGGGTTGAAGCATTCGTGTTTCAAGTTGGACCACCTACAAGGGGTGGAGGTAAGGAAGGGAAACCATGGAAGTTGAGGAGCCTTGAGAGGAAATACTGTGTTCTGCTTAAAAATCCAGATTTGTAGCTCCACTCCGTGGGCATGTGCATGGTAGCCAGACTCCAAAATAGCCCCCAATGATCCTCGGCTCCTGATATTCACACCCCTGTGTAGTTCCTTGCCATCCTGAGTAGACTGACTCATGTAACCTATAGTATATTCAGAAATGGTGATGTGTAACCAATAAGCTTGTTTATAAAAGACATTGTGGCTTGTGTTTTTCTTGGATCACCCACTCTGACAACACCCAGCCACTGTACCATGAAGACACTCAAGTAGCCCATGGTGAGAATATCATGGGGAGAAGCTGAGGCCTCCTGCCAATAGCTGGCACCATGTGAGTGAATCACCTTAGAAGCAGATCCTACAGCCCCAGTCAAGCCATCAGATGACGCAGCCCGACCCAACATCGTGACTGCAACCTCATGAGAGACCCCACATCAGAAGCACCCAAGTTCCCAACCCACAGAAACCGTGAGATAATAAATGTTTATTATAGTTTTAAAATGCTAACTTTTAGAGTGATTTGTTTCACAGTGATAGATAATTGCCACAAAGCAGATGATGCAGGGCCAGCAATGCCAGATTTGAGTTCATCTGAGGATAACTAGAGTTTATCTTTCAGTGGTTAACTGTGCAGCCCATTTTCCCTTCTGGAGCCAGCTGGTCCCAATTTGATTCTGCAACTCTTAGTAGCCACAAATGCCACCTGTATCCTCAATAAACTTTATTTAGACACAAATAGACACAACAGAAAATACATACACAGATACAGATATTTTTTCTCTACAGGATGAACAAACATCACATAGGGAATTTAAAAAGTAGGTGCATGGAATGTAAGAAAATATTGCAAAGTTCCTTGTTCACTCACACTTGAAACAGACACATTTCAGAGGAAGACAGGGATATATGATCCCTACAACAGAATTCACATTTGGTCTATAACAGCACACAGGTGTTAGGAAGGTAATCAAAGGAGTTAGGGATCCAGTTCCTCTTGATGTGACAGAATGCTCACAACACTAGTAGGACTCTGTTTAAACAAAAGACAGCATCGAGGAGGTTTCCACGCCCCCCGCACAGATGCTCTGCAAGCTGTCAGCTAGGTCGTAAAGCAGCTCAGCAGAAGCACTAGGTTAGCTTTCACCTTGCAGCTTGCAGGTCTACACAACCTCTACCTTAGTGTGCACATCACAGAGTGTTTACGGAGACACACTTAGGACGCTGAAACTCTCCACATGCACGCTGGCTTAGACACCTACAGTACAGGACATAGACATCAGTGTGGCTTTCAAAAGGAAAAGGAATAACAGCCAAGAGGCGAACGAGCACTTTGCAAATGCTGCCACAACATCCATTGGCAGTGTCTTCCCGCCACGCTGCCTGGGAGCCCCCCTCCCCCGCCGGGAGCCTCCAGCGTCTGCGCCCTGCTCCCCGCCATGGGCCGAGCAGGATGGACGTCTCTTGGAAGTTTATGGCCCTCTAAAGTCACGCCTGTGACCTCCTGGTCACTCCTTTCAGAAGCCTGGCCTGTCACCAGGACCAGCTGCCCTGGAACCAACCCTCTCACTTCCGTCCCGGACAAGCCTCGGCCTCCACACCATCTTCACCCTTCAGATCAGGGTTCCCTAGGCAACCTCTGTATTTTAGTAAAAAATGGTTTCCACTGTACCCTTCGTGTGTCCTCTTCCTAATGTGACAAATCCAGATGAGATGAAGTTATGGAGATCTGGTCCTCCACTTCGGTAAGCATCCTTCCCATAATGCCCTGCAAGAAGATGGGGCACAATTACCGGACACATCCGGGACACTAACACGGAAGACCCGCGCGACACCGTCGCACCCGGCGGCAGCTGAGCCACAGGCGGAAGTAGCCGAGGATACACATGTATCATGTCTGTATACACACATGTACTTTATACAGAAAGCATGTATATATACTATGTATAATATGCAAAATGTATATCACTGAAAATATATTAATGTTACGCATTTTGCACATATAGTATCACATATAAAATATGTGTATATATCACTGAAAATATATTAACGTAAAATATATGTGAAATATAATGTGAAAATATATTAATATTAATATATACAATGTGAAAATGTATTAATATTAATATAATATATTGCTGACAATATATATTTAAGTTATATATAGCATATATATGTTTTACATATAAAAACGCATATATATCACTGGAAATATAATATATAATATATATTACTGAATGTATATTAATATGTAACATATATTGCTGAAAATATATTAACTTGTTATATATTGCACATATATTATATATAAAATACATATATATTATATATAATATGTAAAACATGTATCACTGAAAATATATTAATATGTATTTTGCACATATAGTATCACATATAAAATATGTGTATATATCACTGAAATATATTAATGTTAAAATACAATATGTGAAATATAATGTGAAAATATATTAATATTATATATAATGCGAAAATGTATTAATATAAATATAATATATTGCTGACAATATATATTTAAGTTATATATAGCATATATATGTTTTACATATAAAAATGCATCTATATCACTGGAAATATATATATATTACTGAATATATATTAATATGTTATATATATTGCTGAAAATATATTAATATTATATATAATGCGAAAATGTATTAATATAAATATAATATATTGCTGACAATATATATTTAAGTTATATATAGCATATATATGTTTTACATATAAAAATGCATCTATATCACTGGAAATATATATATATTACTGAATATATATTAATATGTAATATATATTGCTGAAAATATATTAACATGTTATCTATTGCACATATTTTATATATAAAATACATATATTGTATATATGTAAAATATATATCACTGAAAATATATTAATATGTATATATGTAATATATTACTATGTTATATATATGAAACACATTAATATATTTCAGCAGTATATATTACATGTTAATATGCATATATAGCCGTTCAACAAGAATAAAGTCCTGGGAACGTTGCACTGGGGGTATGGCTTGATTTTGGCATTTCTGACTGAACACAAGACACAACAGAACATTAGTCTATTTGTTCCACCTTCCTTCTTCCTCTTCCTTGCTTTGCTCATTTGTTTTCTTTCTTTCCCAAGCATGCTAGAGTGGGTCTGATGGGGACTGCTCCATGTATGTGTATGTTTTCGAATCATACTGCCATCCATGGCACTACAGCCTGGTGACTTTGGAGAAATCCAACCACAGCTGAGGCTGACAGGTGGATGGTGGCTATAAAACATTGGGGAAACAGTTATGTGCTCTCCTTTCCTGACTTTCAGTGATAAGACCTCATCCCTCATCAGCCTAATGCACACATCTACCTGTGGCGTTGAGGTGAGGAAAGGACCCAGGGCAGGTTAGGACTATGCAGAGAAATACAAAGAGAAATGTTCTCCTTCTGACATTCAAAATAGGATTTTATAACACACTTGAAACACAGGCATTATAAAGAAAGAACTTTCTAAATGCCATCCTGCAGTATGTGCATATGAAAATGGAGAAAAGCCACCTTTTTTTCATGTTGACACCGAGCATATTAAAAGTTGTATTTATAATTATAACAGTGTAAACAACTTAAGATTTAATGTTAAGTTAAAAAGTGGACAGAAAATAATATATTAACTACAATCACAGTGCTGTAAATTTCAAACAAACAGTGCATACAAGAAAAAAAAAAGATTGAAAGAAAGCACACCAAGATATTGACAATTGCCTTTGATAGCTGAAACATGAGTGATATCTCTTCTCTCCTTTCAATTTTTCTATATTTTTCAAGTTTTCTTTTCTACAATGAATAAGTAATTTTTCTAATATAAATAGGTAAAATAGATATCTTACAGAAAATCTATAATAAATAGAAAGACAACACAAATCACAATTTTTCTTAGCAGAGCACATTCTGGATCAGTAGATCTCAAACTTAGGTGCATGTTGGAATCACCTGGGAACTTTTAAAAGTACAGATGCCCAGACCAACTCCAGAGATTCTAATTCAGCTGGGCAGGGTCTGGGCTTAGGCAGGGATATTTTTAAAGAGCTGTCTAGGTGATTCCAATGTGCCACTGGAAACGAGAATCACTGCCCTAGCCAAGGTGAAGAAACAACCTAAGTTCAGCTTACTGTCGTGCGTTCAATAAGCTTTGGCCGGGACCCTCTGGGTTCCTGGCACCACCCCATTTGATTTCAGGGCCCGAGTGGTCTTCCTCTGGGGAGTGGAGTCTGGCCCCACGTCCTTCCTTGTTATCCTAAGTCTCAAACCAGAGCTTGCATCAGAATAACCAGGAGACTTAACCCAAACAGCTGGGCCCCACTCCCAGAGTTTCTGATTCAGTAGGTCTGGGATAGGGTTCAAGACAATGCCTTTCCATCCAATCCCCTGATGCTGCTGGTCCAGGGACCACACTTGGAGAACTGTGGTCCTAGCACATCAGGAACATGAGAATTTTGCCACTTTTCCCTCATGCTCTCCACTCTGGAATAAATTACTTCATTCCCCAGGGCACACAGCTTTCCCTGAGGAACATTCTTGCTCAAAAAATACTATGGTCACAGGGACATTTTTGCTCTAAAATACTGTGGTCACAACTCAAACTTTTATAGAATTATTAGAGCTGAACTAAGAGGCTTCTGCCCATATCCCAGGCCATGTTACAGCTCCAGAAACCCAACTCTAGGCCTGAGGAAATGTATCTTTATTAGGGAGAGAAAAAAGGGGAAGGCCAAGGGGTGTGTTACCCCCCCTTGGGTTGGGCTACAAGACTTGGGGACAGCCAGGACCCTTCTGCAACACTGTTGGTTTCTCTCCACCACCCCACCCACTCAATAATAGAAGAGTAAGGAAAGGAAGTAACAATTCAGAATCCTCATAAATTTGGACCTCATTAATTCAGAACCTGTGATAAATCCTGCAGAATTTGGGCTGGTTTATTTCTGTGCTCTTTATAAATAACATTTTTGATAAACAAATCAATACCAAGGAAGTTGGAACATAAAACAGTGCCTGTGCTACTTACAAATCATTCTTATCTGTCAGCTGGAATAAGGTCCCTGAGGACAAAGCATTGCTCCAGTGCTTGGGGCTATGCTTGTTGGAAAAGGAACTGAAGTTTCTGGATCACCTACTGTGCACCAGGCAGAGGGACACAGCCTCTACAAACATCGCTCTTTTTTTTGGACATAATAATAGCTAACACTTTATTGCTTTTTGCAGTTTACAAAGATCATTTACATATACTAGCTAAAAGCTTAATTAATACTGCATGGTAAGTTGTTTATTATTATTCTTCCGTTTTATTGATGGGAAAACTGAGGCCAAGGGGCTAGATGACTGAGTCAGCACTAGCATTAAGGTGTTCTGACTCCAAATCCCATGTACATTACATGTGCACACCTGGCTTCATTTATTCCTCACAAGAACCCTGTAAAACATGGTCACTTTCCCAAGTTCATGGAGCTAGTCGGTGGTAGATCCTGGATTCCAACCAGGTCTAGCTGCCTTCAAAGTCCACAGTCTTTCTACAACTCTCATTCTAGCCACCTCACCCTCATGGCCTGAATGTGTGCAGCTGTGACTCTTCTCTGAGACTGTGGCCGGGAGACAGTGGAAATTCATGAGAATTCAAGTTCAAGAAGCTGAAGCTCAGAGACGTTGAGCTTCAAGAACTGAGGTTTCGAGTGGTGGGGAAAGAAAAGATGCTGATGGGTAATGAGGCAGGACCAAGAGCATATGACAGGAATAAAGAATTCTGTGATCTGCTCAGTTTGGGAACAGCGAGTTAAATGAAATGAACAGCTATAGAAAAACCAAGTCTAGGAACTTCTCGGAGACAATGAGCACTGAACTCCCTATGAAGCCTTTATGTTCATCTCTCGGAACACTTTTTGGGGAAAGCTGCTCTTGAGACTGAAGTGGAGAAAGCACAGTGACAGTTTCAGCTCTTATTTGAGCTATGGTCCTAAAACCTGAGAGCTCACCTGGGAGGCACACAGATTGCTGGGCTCCAGCCCCAGAATTCCTGATGTTTAGGTCTAAGGTGAAGCCTGATGATTTCCATTTCTAAGGAGTTCCCAGGTGATGCTGACAATGCCCTTGATTCCAAGGACCACACTTCATGAACCACTATGTTAGGACTAGCGACATGTCAGTCTTCAGCTGGACCCGCGGCCGAGGTCTACAATGATTTACACTCTCTGTACCCTCCAAAGTTTAGCATGAACAGGAGTGGCATGAAGGGAAGAAAAGTTGGTGAATGCGAAGCCTCATGCAGGTCACAGGAGAGAAGGCAATGTTCTTCTCCCTGGCGATGTACGACAGTAAGGGGTATCATACAATTTGGTAGCTGAAATGCAAAGAACCACCTTCTCTGTCCTGCAGCAACTACCCTGAGTCTCTCCGTCCATCTGCCAGCTATTGGGACAGGAGGGCAAAGAATTATAAACTTTGCCCAAATCACAATAGCAGAGAAACACCCGTACATCCTGCAGAGCTCTGGGCAGAAGTGTGCAAGAGCTCCATGAAGCCCCCCAGTGCAGTAGCAAGAGCACTCTCACCTCAAAGTATAGACAAACATGTCCACGGCTGGGAACAAGTGGGGGGGTTGAGGCTTCAGAGCATGGCTGCTACCACCTGCCAGACCAAACTGTGCAAAGCCGCATCCAGATGATGTCTCTACCTCCAGTTCTGCCTCTGTCCCCTCACCTTCACCATTGACAACCATCCCCAAAGCAACAATGATTTTATTCTAGCTCAGTCACTGCCCAGGCTGTTTCGACCTCCTGTCAGAACTCCATGCCTTTCCTAAATATCAGCAGAAGCCACA